ACACATTCCTTTTCCATCTTCAGCCTCCCTTCTGTTCCCTCCCGGCCTTACGGATGCCAATTTCATGACTGAAGAGCCAGTGCTGACTGTCAGGAAAATTCAATTCAACGAGACAGACAAGACAAACCCTCTTACGATTCCTCAATACAAAAATAAACCTGACATGAAGGAAAATTACATTTGTCAAATATAATGGAAAGTAATGTATCTGAAACTGAAATTTGTCCTTTACCGTCGTGGAATTCCCTATCTCGGCATCATGCAAGAGTGACACAAAGCCGGTCTGATTTATTGTTTGATCAAAGAGTCAGAACAGAGCGTACAAAAAATGCAATGACAAAACTTCATTGCTGATTCTGCATATGCCACGCCAGTGAACACCATGCAGCCGCCATTCTTTCTTAATTAACACCTTCAATAATTCAAAATTACAAATGCAACAAATTTATGTGTTGAGAATTATACTCGCACCATTAAATTATTCGATTTGTAATTTTATGTTGTGATTTTTCTGTTTTGAAAATGTGTAACTTTCTTTTCGAAGAGGAGAGTGACTACAACAAAACAATCCAGCCTTTACACCTACTTGTCTTTTACTTTCTGTTATCTAAGACATGATCAATACAGAGATGCGATAAATTACTTATTTGTTTCGTAAGCAAAATCAAGCGGCCATTTCTCACCCAAGTCTCACCTGATTCACTACTCTACTGTTGGCTGACACTGACATTACATTACTGCAACAACGATATTACAAAATGCATTTGTTATTCCCGTGGTTGCCCTACTGATGCCAAATGCCTGTGATGTAGTGTGAAGAACACTGAGAATTTCAGTGTACTCCTAACAACACATTTTCAATTTTGATATAAAGTTTTAGTATCACCTAACACTTCAAGCAAGCGTGCTTTCTTGGATCGTACACTGCGTTACTTCCACGAGGACAAGAAGACAAATGATGGGAGAAACTGCAACTGATGAAGGGTAAAAAAAACCCAAGATATGTGTCTGTAAGCTGCTCCCCAATACTTAACTTTCATATCAAATTCAGTCCTGAAGATGGAGGCAGTACATTCCTCTGAAACGTTGGTAACCACCTACGAGTCAAACCCAGAAGACGATGATGAAAAACTTCACATTATTTCCAGTCTTATAAGATTTGGGATGGGCCAAAAAGTCATATACGTAAAAGTTGGTAGAACTGAATAATATAATTTACAAACTGCGTGCATGTGCAGAGCATGGCCTTCCTGTAACCTGTACGAAAATCACACTGATTAGTCCAGTGACTACCTGCATCAAAATACATGCAGGGGGGAGGACTCGCGCGCTGGAGAGGAAAAACCGAGCGTAAAATGAACTTCATTAGACTTGGTAAAATGCTGCAGCTGTCATCAGCTTTTGTGCCACGTTGCTACACACACGGGAGCTGGACTGTCCTAGTTTCCAACTCACCGTATTACGATGACACAGCGCCAATATCTGCTTCCTCCATGCACATCCCTTCTAACATAAGCCTCTTTCTATCGTTAAAATTTAAGAAACCTTCCCTGGTTCCAATGTATAATTCACAAAACTAATTAGCTGTATACCTCCAACTAATCGAGACTGGGCGAGCCGTTAAAATCTCTGGTCACTTCAGCTGGACCAATATGTAAGTTAAGGGTATAAGAGAAATGGATAGACAGATAGACAAGGGGCGCGGAAGCCAAAGAAGCTGAACTGTAGTGAAACTGACAGATGAACTACTCAGCTGTCCAATCAATGTACGCTATTAATCACCCCCCCCCCCCCCAACACCTCACCCTTACATTCTGCCAACCCTCTCTACCACTTTCAACCCCCCTTCAACCAAACTCCCCTTCACATGCGCGCACAGTAAGCTCTGCCTATCCAACAAGCAGCAAGGCTCCGACGTTCAATCTCAGTGCCAGCAAAGAACCAGAAGCGTCTTATCTTGGCCGATGGTAGCGTTCAACATATAATATTCTTTTCCTTTACAATATAATCTCACGAGTCCTCCAAATTTAATAACAGTGAGTTAAGAAAACAGAGCTTTTCTTTACACTGTTTATGTCGGACACAGTTTGCTTTGCTAAATCCACGATCATAACAACTGACACTCCAGCGTCTGTTTCCTGAGCAAAATGTAATTTATCAGCGACACTTACACAAGTTTAAAAAGGTGTTCTTCACGCTATGGCATTCTAAATACTTTTGGCTGTTCTGAATAACTTTGACGAGGAACTTATTAAAAAAAACTGCCGAGTCTCTCCTCTATGGTTTCACGCGTTTATCAGAAACTGACTGTCCGTGAGCACAAAATAATTTAAACAGATGACCTTCACTTTATATTCCAAAATTACAAACTATTCAATACATTTAATATATGCCCAGATTTTTCTTAACCCATTGATTTAAGAGAAAAGTCTCATAAAATTCTTTCTGAAATGAAACATTTATTACGGTATCTTAATTAGACAAACAACTTTTACTTGAACCTTCTTTTTTTCCAAAGAGAAATGATATGCTAATACACATCTAATCTCAAATGAAAGTATGACGTAGATATATAAGAAAATTAAGATGTTCCTCTAACATAGAAATTTTATGAAAACCTGTCCAGAGATTCTCAAATTGAAATGTGTGAACAGAAAGACACAAATTCCAAAATGGATTAGCATGTTGGACCTGCGTGAAGATGGTCAAGCAATTGAACCTTGCAGTCACACTTTTTTAATAGTGCTTGCAACTGTAAACAATTTTTCAGAATGTTGTTGTAGTTTTTGTCTGTAAAAAAGTTCACTACACTAAATGCGTTGAATATCACCTCAAAAATATGCACCATAGCCACGTCTGTAATTCTTGACTTACGATCAATGTTTCATACCTAATTTGTAGGCATTTTCTGATCAACTTCCATACCAGATTCCATTAGTTATCTCTGTTAAGCTAAAGAAAAATGTTGTAAGAACACGTTCTTTAATGTTCTACAAAGAAAACATCTTACCAAGCTATTACGTTACATAAAAAATGGCTGCATATACTTCTTTAAAACTGTTACCAGACATCATTTCAAAAGCATTTATCGTATAACGCCAGTATTACCGAGATATCATAAGTTTGTGCATTTATCGCCTTCTTATTACTGATTACAGGAAATTAGAAAGTACAACGCTGAGGTCGGCTAAAATATCATAACAATCGGTTGTCCAGCAGGTCGTTAAACTGAAACACGCCCCTACATGCACAGTTTACGTACGTATCACGCAGAGGACGCACGTGTTCCCTTTTAACTGCATTTCTACTAGGGGTCAACATTTTCAATTAAAATACTCTAAGTTAATTAAATAGTTAAAGCGATATCCAGATTTACGGTGGCTCCTGCAGTATCAAAAGTTCAATGACGTAGTTCACCTCTTCTGTTCGCCATGTTTTACGTGTGACCTCGTACATGGAAATATAGAGGAAATGAGATCCAGTTACTACAGTGGCCAATTCTGCGGACCACCACGACCAAACCATCGGTCAGGGATCTGCTGATTCAAATACAGTCACGCGTCAATTGAAACGTGAGGGTTCCCCATTACGCCAGATGTGCATCTGCGTTATGCGTCGTTCAAAATATTAGAAGTAGAAAATTTGGATTTAGTCCCTTTTTCCAGAGAGAGAGAGATTCAAGAACTGCTGCCCGAGGCTACGCTTGATGGTTTGTTTGTTAAACTTCAATTTTGAAACTGCTTCACAAAGACAACATCAACAGATATGTTAAGATTTCACGTTACTGAGACACGCCCAGACCAAGGCAGAACACAGCTATCTAATGATGAACAGCAATATCTTGCTCCTTCTCAGACACTCCACATGTCTGTACCACACTTCCCTGACAAGAGCTACAGACATTTTCAAAAAAAGAAAAGAAAAAATTATGTGAAAGGAATATAATCGCCCATGAATATAAACTAACGACGCTACTAATATATAAGCTCGGTTTAAAAATGTCGTACTCAGGTACGAGGATCAATTCTGAACATTCTAGTCTTTATTTAAAGCTTAAATAAAAAAATTTAGTAAATAATATGTATTTTCCAAACGGCTGAATTTAAACGCTAGCTAATTCGCACTTAAATCTGGCCGTCTGTTTAATAAAACCTCAAATTAAAAGCAGAATTTTATGAATAAATTTTCCACTAAAGAAAAAAGAAGATGCATCTTAAGTTGTGGAGCTGTTACTTTATTAGTCAGGCAGAGCTGGTACTAAAGAAGATAAATAACCTGAAGAGCTGCTGCTGCTGCTGAAATTCCAGGCGACTGACAAATAGACAAAAAACAATGGCATGTGTTCATATCATAATACACGGTCACTCTACGTCAAAGGATATTCTTTGCAAAGTCAATTGTATACTCAGCTTGTCAAAGAATAACCCACTTTCTTTACGGAACCCAAAGGTTCATCAATGTGTTCACAAAAGCCCGTCACCGGACTACATCGAACGAAGCAAAACAAAGGCTGACTTACCGCCACCATGTCTTCAATGGCTTGCGTAGCCTTCGAGCCCAGCATCACCATGCCCATCGAGATGCCGGCAGCTTCGCCAGTCACCGCGTCATCTTGGTATAAATTGAACTTCAGTTGTTCATACACATCCTGCCTGTTTGTTCCCATCGCAGCCAGACCCAGGCCAAGGCAACCGCCATGACGAACCATCTGACAACAGGAAAATAATACTCTTATTAATGGAATTATCAAATATCTCAAACATGGTTCGACATACAAAACGCTGTGCATTATTAAAACATATCTTATTAAAATCAATAAATCAGCTCTGAGCACAGATCTACTTGAGAAACTAACGGCCACTTAGCTAGTCAAGAAATTCCGTGCCTTTTATGAAAACGTTTTGGTTCACCGCCATGTTCACGAGAGACCAACACTGAATCCTGTCTTTAGCATACGAATTAAGCCCACATCTTCATGTCTATTCCGTTAACATTCAGCCCTGCCATCTATGCCTAGATCTTCCCTTCAGGTTTTCTAACTAAAATTGTGCATGAATTTCTAATATCTCCTATACGTCCTATCCTACACGATAGCAAACGAAGCCACAGTCCGACTAGAAAGCTTGTAACACTGGCCAAACATCCCAGAGGTTAATAAAAACCATCGTACAGCTTCCAAGCTTCGAGGAAAACGAATCGCACCTCATTCTGTGCATCTTTGAGTTGTCCAAGCAGATAATCAGTTATGACAGCTCCATGATTGGCATGGATAAGACCAAGGGCATAGAGGCCACCACCCTCCGAGTAGCCGGAGCTGGGTCCAACTTCTTTCGGCAAATAACTCTGCATCAGAAGAAGGGCTTCGTGCTCGTGACCGCGATGAATCACTCCGAGAGAAGCCGTGGCTGTTAACTTTGCCCAGTTGGTAGCTCGGGCAAGCCATTCCAAATTATCCCTGCAATAATACAAATTAATTAAGACAACTAAACTGGAATAAATAGAAACAAATTGTACCCATGTACACTTGTTCCACACTGTAAAACAAATATGACTTGCAGTAATTTCAGTAAGCAAATGATGACCCGCAGGTCGAATACAGCCCTCTAAACCATCGGAACATCCCAACAACAAAAATGAAGAAAGACTCTTGCAGAAACCTCAGGAGATGCAATCACTTTAAGATATTTATCTTCCCTGACTAGAAAAATGCAAACAATTATCATTAAATCTCTTTCAGGTTTGACAAATGCCATATTTACCCCTGCATATAAGATGACCCCCTTCACAATGTTCAATTTTCAGTAAAATACCAATATTCACATTAGTCAGGTTTTATGCCACTCAAAAGAATTGTAATTGGTTGAAGAATTACACTGTATTTAAAAATTATTGTCTACATGAAACGATGTAATTAAAGAAACGCAGAGAAAAGCCGCATAAGACGAATACACGGAGACCAAGACTGGAATTACGGCGCCAGCTGTACACTTAAGTCACTTCTGATTTCATGTCTAGAAAATGTTACGCAATTGATTTTTGTTGCACAGTTTGCAACCATGACTGAAGGTGACTAATGGTCTGAACCTCTCACCTCAAAAACTGATCACTTGTAGTTCCACTGTGCATATAAGCGTTTGCGATGACCGTGGCAGTGTGGCAGATGGACACTCTGATGGCATCTTTCGTGTTCTTCAGGATCAGCATGTCTGAATGGTTGCTGCGAATCAGGAACTGAAGGTGGAGGTCGATGGAGACTTCACCGCTTAGAATGCTTGTCAATTTTTCAACCCTCTGTTGGTGACATTTCTCTTCTTCATTCTGAAGCAGAAAACAATGACTTACTTACTTAGGCGACCCGTTCTTCAGTGCCATGAGCATCTGCGGGTCCCAACTTTCGTTGGCTCGCTCTATAGACAGTTGGTAGGACTCCTTGGACGAGCGATCGTCTCGTCGCAAGGTCTCTACCTGTACACAGGACAGCGCAACACAGAAAAACGTGGACAAACATCATGGCTTGAGTGGGATTCGAACCCAAGGTCCCAGTGACCAAGCGGCTCAAGGCTCACGCCTAAGACCGCGCGGCTACTGTGACGGTGAAATAATGACTAAATACAGAAATCACAAAACTGGTGGTGGGTCTCTGTGAATACAGAAATGAACCTTTGGCTTTCATAAAAGATAGGAACAGACGAGCAACAACAAGTCAAGAGGTCATTTGAAATGTTTAAGTGTGATCCTCTCAAAGCTGGAGAGACAGCGCAGCGAAAACCAAAACTAAATATCGTCTGACTTACGAGAGACTCCATTTTCCTCTCCGGTTTCTTCTCCTCGTCAGCCACTTCAGAGCTGGATTCCCCAGACGCCTCTTCCTTAGCTGCACCCTCGACTGGTACTTTCACAATCTTATTTGTGGCTGCAGGAATAGGGGCCGTGGCCCTCAGAGCTTGGAGTACTCTGCCCAGGAACTGTTGCGTTGCACTCTCATACAGATCAAATGCAATCTGATACGCCATAAGAACACTATCCTGTAATTATAAAAACTCTGTTATGTCAAAACTATAGCTGCCGTGTTGTACCAGTGAATATTACTGTGAAACATCAGACACACATGTAAAAATCCTCCATATCATTTATGTCCAGTTCCTATAACGTATTCAGATTGCTACATTTTTCCAATAAATGTAATTTTTAATCTTCTTCCCATACAAAATGCCGAGAAACCCGACCATCAAGAGAAAGAAATGGCCTGGCTTGCAGAAGAAGTGTGCTTATGAAAGGAAAGCTCTCGTTGAGCAAGGCCAAGGCCCAACTGCGGGAGATGAAGCTCAGACCAACATCAGAGGGCAGCTGAAGAGCAGGCCAGGAAAAGAAGAGACCTAAAATCTCCAGCCACGGGTCTATCTGCTATGTTCAGGTGGCAGAAAGCTCCATCGTAGACGGTGGTTATCTGGACCAATTATTTGCACTCACCTCTGTATCCTTGCTCAGCTTCTCTAAAACTTCAGCTACAGCCAATGGATCGTCAAGGAAGATAAGACACTGACACATGTTGACATAATCTGGTGTCGCCAGATTTCGGTACAGCCCGACCAGCGAACGCAGCACTATATTACGGAAGCCCCTGTTCTGTATGAGACTCATCGCAACTTGGAACGCGTATGACAGCATCCCATTTACGTCTTCCTGCAACATATCATTACTTCCAATTAAAACATAAACCAGATTTTGTAAACAATGTAAAAAAAATGCAGAAAAATAAATTAACTTGTCTCATCATGACAATTACATGAGAAGATTTTTTTAATGAGTCGGCTAACTGTTTGGCTATACCGAGAAGAAGGGCAATGCGCTGGTGCTGAAGTTACAGAGCGTGAGTAAAAATCATAATCGAAGTATAACTGCTGCTATAGGGCACATTCATCATATTAACAATAATTTAGTACAATGGTCGCTGCCTCAAAAGCGAGAATCAACGATCCTGCTTCTTGAATAAAAACATGTCACTGGTTCATCACTGTCCTAGAAGATGACCCTCGATAGTTCCCTGTGAGGTGAGGATTAAACGAGTAAACCGTGTCACAGGCGAACTAACCCACGGTCAATCACGACATAACGACTGACTAGGTCCACTTGTAAATCCCTAAATATGAACAAACAAGTGAAGTATGCTTTAAAAAATCACACTACATTAGTGCAGCATTTACCGAGCGCTGACAATTTAGAAATACTCACAGATTCAATAATAGCTTTCTCAAAGATGTCCATTCGGCGTGTCTCCAGGGCCAGACCGAGGGCTTGCCTGTACTGGCCGTCGTCCAAGCAGCGCTGGAACATTCTGTTCACTATAGCTTCCAAACGAGGGTCAATTTCCTTTGCATCTTTAGAATTCTCAGCCTTAGCGATCCTTTGCTGTGTATAGTAGTCAATGCATTTGGCTAAAAAACAGCGAGACAAAATTTCTGAATAAACTTACTAACTCACATTTTATTAAGTTTCAATGCAATTCAGATCATCCTTAAAGAAGAATTACAATTAACTAACTTCTATTTGCAGTGATATGAAATATCTGGCTTACCAATAGTTGTATCCACGTATTCAGTCCGTGAATTAACGTCGAACAAGTTTCCAGCTCCTAACGCGTAAGTCAGAGAGTCTTCAAATGACCCCAGATGATAGTACACTTTACTGGCCACAAGAGCTGCGAGTTCGTGCTGAGTGAAACTTTTATTCTCGTGAAGAATTTCGCTGCAATCATTCAGATAAGTTCCAACTCACTCACTCTATTGCGCAGGAAATTCCTTGAAAAGTCAATTGCATACTTGGCTCGTCTTTATTTATGGAACCCAAAGGTTCATCGCTGTGCTCACAAAAGCCTACCACTGGCCTCCATACTGAGCTACCTGCATCCAGTGCATTTCACCAATTCGCATCTCCCTAACGTTCATCTTAACGTTATCCTCCCACCTATGAACAGGTCTTCCTAGAGGTCTCCTCCCTTCAAACCTCCCAGCCAATACCTTCTAAACACCCCTCCCTTCCCCATGCATGCTACACGTCCCACCAACCTCATCCTCCTCGAACAATATCAGGTGAGTAAAGTCCATCATTATGCAATTTTCTCCATGATCCATCTCCCTCCCCTTTAGGTCCATATATCTTCCTCAACACTGTTCTCAAAGACCCTCAGCCTCTCAAAGTGAGAGACCAAGTTTTGCACCCATACAGCCCAAATGGCAGAATTACATTTTTGTATATTTTAATTTTAATTTTTTGTGATGTGAGATGGGAGGACAAAAGACTTTGGACTGAATGATACCAAGCAAACCCTGAATTTAATCTGCTCTTGATTTTGTCATAAATGTCATTCTGATTTATTAGCGTGACACCCAAGTGCTGTCCGCGGCTGTAATCTTGAGACTTGCGGGGTGAAGGAGGAGAGACAGCGTCTGCCTTCAACGCTTCAAACTTCCTGCATTCCTTGCAAGTCTCAAAATTACAGTCGCGAACAGCACTTGAATTCTGTCACATTTTTGAACGATTCATTAGCCATCTCATTCTGTCCTGAATTCTGATTCCAAGACATGATCATATACTTTGTCTTTTTCCCATTTATTTCTAGACCAAGATCCCTACTAGCCCTTGAAAGTATTTATTTCTTTGCCCAACAGATTTTCATCATCAGCATACACCAAAAGCAGCTGTGATAGAGCACCTTCCTGTTACAGGAAATGTACTGAACAAATTTTGCTAGAGGTTTCACATTTTAATTAGCCTGACTAGCTTCTCAGGTGTACCAAATTCAAACAAAATATTGTACGTGTTCCAAATGCACACTTTAAGCAAAAGATAAGCAATCATAAGGTTTATCAAACAATTATGTCATATTCTACACCATAAAATGCGATAAAGAGAATATATTTGTGATACTATTACTTTATACAACAGTGCGGCCCTAGCACGGTTAAAACAGCAGAGTTTTAGTCTGCAAGTTAACTTCAGAATTACTGTCGTTGTTGTTTCTTGGCTCTACAACCCGGTTGTAGGTTTTCGCCGCCTCCTTTTTGGAGGTTTATTGGTCTTGAAGTGTGCATTTATGAGTAGTGAGTGACCAGCCCACTGACTCTGCACAATTTGGGATGTAAATAAATTGTATACTATATATTTCATAAAATATTCAACAAACTGTTTGCAAGAAATTCCACAAACTATTATCTCAAAAGAACTATGACAATTATAAGCAAATGCTTATAGTGGGCTGTATTATGACCATATACGAACTTCAAAACAATAAACTCACATTTTCTCAATTGCTTCTGAAATTTCTGGCCAAAATTCATCAACAATCAAATCGAGCTTCTTCAATGCAAAAACTTTCAGCTCTGGCATGGGCTCTTCCAAAAGGGAAATTATACCCGCTGAAAATAAACACAATAAGAAAATAATAAATTAACAGGAAAATATATGTATCAATAATTACATCACATTGAAGCAATCCAAAATCTTAATGTGATGACTCCGACACCAAACACCAGTAGCGTGTACAACTTAACCTAAAATTAGATGTCAAGTGCAATGACTTGCATGAAACAGTGGTTATTTGAACGCAAAATTATGACTTGATATTACATAGCTCTTAAATTAGAAAACAAAACATATCTTAATGCTCTACTATACCTGCGGATGTTATATTCATCTTGATTTGGAATACTTCCTCAAAATGCTCTGTTAAACAACTCACAACACACCTCAACTCTATTACAACAGCCGCTTCCTTAAAATGCTCTCACCTGCCTGTAGAAGTGCAACTCCGCTACGTGAAGGGTTGAGTATTATCCTGCCACCTATTTACAAGTAAACATAACGCCGGCTTCTGGTGTGAGCAATAGCCTAATCGGTAAGAAGGTTAACTACTCTTCAACTATCATAAATACTCCTCTGAAAAGACTACTCTGTCTCTCCATGAATAATTCTGAAACCATTAAATGACAGAGGAAATTTCTCCGAATTTAGGATAAAAGTGAATACAATTCTCACTTCACTTTTATACATAAGATGAAGATTTATCTGCAAAATGAGAGTCCTCTAAAAATATTTCATACATATAAAAGAAATTTCATTAACACAAATCCAAATTATCCTTACTGAAATGTACCGCACAACCTTAAAACAGATTAATATTCATTAGGAATGAAGACAGCTGAGGTTTGCAAATTGTCAATGAAAAATGTTTTGATCATAAATATTTGTATTCAATATTATAACTGATGTCCATCACTTGCACTTAGGATATTAAATATTATTCACATATTTACCACAGTCATGTATGGAAAGCCAGACACAGACTGCAATAGCCTGATGGACAAGAACTGATGGCAGAATAAACCATACAATAGCAATTCTTCAAATCAGAATAAAATTATTATGTTTAAATTACAATAATCTGAGGATCCCAAGAATATGTGCAATAAAACAAGGAATGACAAAATACAATACAGAAATGCAGTACTAAAAGGTGATACTAAATGTAGGCTGTAGTCTGAATGAACTCATCTGATACCAAACGAAACTTATACCACTAAGAAAATCTCTCCTATCATTACATTCAAGCTGACAGTGAGATCATCAAATATCATCAACCACATGGTGTAAAAAAAAGTTACTTGTCACCTTATTGAACCACATAATTAATGGTTATCACTCCTGCTTCATATTCGGAAGATTCCGGGTTCAAACCTTGGCCTCAGGTCTTTTCGTGGTTTTACTCAGTCCCTCCAGGCAAATTGTGGGATAGTACCTTAAATTAGGCCGCTACTGCTTCCTTCTACATCCTTTCCAATTGATTATTCACAATCATACTCCCATTAGTCAGAGTTACTGAAAAAGTTTTTTTAAATAAACGATGAATAAATACAATAGTATATAATGCAACCTACTTACAAAATCAATCCAGCTGAATATTTCAGCCAATGTCATGAAGGCCAAAATGTTGTTACACAATCACATGTGTAAATGACATTGAACAGGAAGAAAAAGATTCTGAAGTTTACAGACATTAAATCTCCTAATCAAAACCTAAACATTCTGCTGAGAACATTACTGTTATTTTTAATGTTCTAAACGTGACTTATTTCATAAGTGCACGAGTGTTATACTTTGAACTTTAATTGTCATAACTTTGTAATTTATAATTGTATTAGAAACATCCTTGGCTTGGCATATGAAGGATATAAATGTAAATACATTATATTGTATTCAATGGTTTAAAGTTAATAAACTGGCGTTAAATTATTACAATACAAATTTCATAAGGTTATTACTAACAAATTATGTATTAATCTACATTGAGGTTATCTTTACATGAAACAGTGACATGACTTTGAAGTCCACTGAAAATAACCTCTTTTATTTGGCTTCCTACAGTGCATTCACTCTAGTGTTCTGTTTTCATTGCATGTGTTGTAGTGGAGGTAAGTTATTCCATAGTCTTCAATTTCATAAATATTTGACACATTTAATTATTCTATGGGATTTGTATTGATCCATAAATCATATTTGTGTTGCTTCCAGTCATTTGGTTTTTAGTCTGCTGGCCTCACAAACTTCAAGGTTCCTTTTCCTTCGATAAGTATTTTTATTTTTTTGTTTTTGATAGTAAGAAAACAAGATGCTTGGAAAGAAGCCAGCATCCATGCAATCTGATACAGCATGTCAGTAGTGAAGTACTGTCAATGTGCTTTATCTTCTGGCTTCAGCAAAGTTTTATTACCAGCACTTTTCTCTGATACACACTAATTGGAAATTTATGTTAACTCATTTTTATATGCCACTAATTTAAATGTTCAGTGAGAGTGATGATGTGTATTTGATTTTCATTCCCTATAAAGATATTGATTCTTATGCAGTAAATAAACATGTTTAAACATGCTAGTAATATTAAAATTTATAAAATATTATTTGTACTGTTAAATATGAGACATACAGAGTAAGTCTTACGAAAATCAAATGTTTTACCAGTCTATGAATTTGAATTATTAGTACTTCAGCGATTTTAAACTGCATTACCTTTGAACCACAGTCGTCCAGCATAGCACTGACAGTAAAGTGACTAGGCTACAGGCGGGACAACTGAGGTTTGATTAGTTTCAGGATCAGAAATTCTTGTCACCACAGCATCCAGACTGGCTCTGGAACCTACTATCTAATGGGGACCAGGGGTTCTTAACCTGAAAGTAAATTGTCTGGAACTGACTACTCACCTCATTTTACCAATTCCCATGAAAGAACCACAAAATGCTAATTTTGCTTCACAACAACAACAACAAAAAACAACAACTACATGACTCAATACAGCATTTCTCACAAACTAAATTCAAAGTTGGGCTGACATTATAATGTTTTCAGGATAAGGTAACTGACAGATATTTATATACACATTTCTGTAATGCTTTCTTTGAAAGATGTAAATAAAACACAACAGTGAGACACTAAAATATTTATTTTATAAATCCTCATATGTAAGATGGACAAATGAAAGCCAGATTTGCTAATACAGCAAAACACCATTAGGCCTACATCAGTGTACAGTGATACTCATATGAAAAAGAAGAAAATAAAAAATCAAGCAATTAAAAAGTCAATAAAGAAAATCTGGTATGGAAAATCTGCAACAAAATATGTATTATAAAACTAATTATACCACAAGTAAAGCTACTGACATATATCCATATTTATGGTGGATAATGCAGGGTAATTCAAAATATCACGGAACTTCCATATTGTGTTATAGATAAAGACGATACAAATTCCAACACTCAACTTGAATGATAACTCTCATCACAGTACATTCTTAGAAGCCTTGTTGTGACCTGTTCATTGCGACCCATTCTGGTCTCGACTCACCTGGCAAACCAAAGGTAGTCTATAGTTTAACACTCCCAGTGACATGGCGACTGAGCAAATGGTAAGCAGCAGCTCATCACGGACTCCAAAGCACAGAGTCGCGTATTCTACGCATTCCCTCAACCTACAGTTCAGTCCAAGTGCCAAAAAATCTTCCCAGATCTCATCAGACACAAACGATTCTGACACACAAATGCTAATATTAATAATTATATTTTGTGGTGTTACCTTCTGTTTCTGCATCCACTTCTTATAATAAGTGAACAAACTTGTACTCAATTATGCTACTTACGCAACAGTTTTTAAAATATAATTTGATACATTAAGAGATGAACTGAAGCAAATATCACATCTCTATCACATTTATTTGATTTACAATAAATCAATTAACCTCCAAAAAGAGACAAATGCTAAAATAAAATCAATTAAATCATATTATGAATTACCCTGTATGGACTGAGGTGTGAGTAACTCTTTACAGCATAACTCAAAAATAATCAACAGATATTTCTGAGAGTTATTCCTGAGACATTCTTTTAGGCTGGCATTTCATATATCTCTAGCAAAAGAACACACACACACCCCCACAAACAGAATACACACGGAATAAAACAAAGTGGCTCTCGTCATTCATGTAATATTCTCCGTAAATATCCTATACTGGATAATTTATGTACTCCATAGACAGATATAAATTCATTCTGAGTATACCTGTAGCACACTAAGATTACATTCATTTTCAAATGGTCAAAATGAGATTTCAGAAGTCTGAACAGTGAATCTTGTCAAAACGCTAAAAATATTGACAGCTTCCGACTCTCTGATTATCTACCACAATTAATACACATCACTGGAACGACACTACTTTATCTTTTATGCTACAGGTCACTGTTCACAGCACTTCAAGCCAAAGATCATGATCCACCAGAAAGCTTGTGACATCACTGGCTAGAACAATTCTGTACAGTTCTATCGTGTCTACAAAACCCAAAGTCCCAAATGAGGGCAACATGGAGTACAGTCTGAAATAGCTTTTAGTTCTTAAAAACAAGTGGCAAGATGGCACCTTTGTGGAAGACAGTTAAACTACAAGCACAAACAATTATCCTGCTTGAACATTGCTGCTGTTGATTGTGAGATCTATGTTCTCTATAGCTCTCAAGCAGTTAAAGTAAAATTTGTGTTCCTAAATATCTCGCAATTCAACGCAAGTGTGTTTCGAATTTACCTCTATTTTGCGGTGGTCATTTTAGAGCTTTGAGCACAGTTTACAATCCAAATGAGTTACAAATTCATCATATTACTGGTTTTATGTCACATCCATTAACATTCAGACTGCGACCGGGGCGCAATGAAACATTTCAATGTGGCCCGGCTTTACTGTAAATTTTGTATCTCACTTCTTCAGGAGAAATGATTTTACACCACCGATATTCAGTTTTCAGTTCCCATCAGGAATATATTCACCCCAACTTTGCTCTTGAGCTACAGCGTCACAACCAACTACTCGCGTATTACGAAAAAATAATTTGTCAGGAATTTATTACCAAGTTATTTCCAGTTGTTAATGTTGAAATTTAATTATGTGTTTTTATAAAAGAATTAAGTATCATTTGAGATGTGATCACACCCTGCATACAGATTCAAGTCTTTTGTTTCAGTAAGATTGCCAGCAGATGATGCGATTCCTGTCAGCGCAAGTAAATCCGAAATAATGGATATTCCAAAAATTTCACATCCACGAATAGAATAGTATATACTACATGCAAGCCAAAGTTAACTGCAAGAGAGACTGTATTTATGCCTGAAGAAGACTTAACAACTTCTCAGAGAATTTATTATCTTGTAGATGCTTTAAAATTTTTCTTTGGGGCACAAATGATAGACATTGTAAAATATGCAAGC